TTATGAGCTACAAAGCAGTTTAGAAAAGTTACTGCATTGGTGTAATAGTAATAAGTTTGAAATTAACAAAAGTAAATGTAAAAAGATTACCTTCTTTCGTACACGTGAACCTATTTCCTATTATTACAATTTAGATGGTTATGTACTTGAGAATTGTCAACAGATATCTGATTTAGGTGTTGTTATGGACTGTAGTTTGTCATTTGCCCCACACATCCTGCATGTCACCAAGACTGCTATGCAACAGCTAGGATTTATTCGTCGTAACACCATGGATTTTGTTAACATACAATGTATCAAAATACTTTTTTATGCTTTAGTAAGGTCAAGAATGGAATATTGTTGCATTGTATGGAAGCCGTATTACCAAAAATATATTGACTTGTTAGAGAATGTCTTGCGCAAATTTGCAAAGTATTTATTTTTAAAAATGTATAATAGGTATCCAAGCAGACATTGTGATCAATCTAGCTTATTGTCTATTGTCAATGAACAACCTTTAATAAGAAGAAGAAATGCAGCTAGTTTAATTTTTCTACAAAAACTCACTTTAGGTCAGATATGTTGTCAGGAGCTTCTCCATGAAATCAAATTCAACATCCCAAGACAAATTAGCCGATGTCCAAAGTTATTTTATTTTGCTATACCCAATACTTTTCATCATTATAACTGTCCATTGATATATGCTTTTCGCTTATATAATTCCGTTTGTGATGGTCGTCTAGATATATTTTTTCATAATTTTAGTAAAGCTAATGTAAGGAAACAATTGTTGGAATTGAATCATGTGTAAGTGTACCAATGTTGTGAGCATTATGTGTTTATTGTATATTTAATATTGTTTATGTGTTTATTGTAAATTTAATATTGTTCCTGTGGTTGTATCCACTATGGACTATATATTAGTCTGCTGGATAAATAAATATATTATTATTATTATTATTATTATTATTATTAAAAAACTATCAAAAATTTGAGAAACCGGGAAACTTAAAAATAGAAATCAGGAAAAAACAAAAAATCGAAAGATCGAAAAATCAAAAATTGAGAACCTGAAAACCAAAAGGTCTAGAAAATCGAAAACTTGAAAGTTGAAACAACGACAAATTAAAAATGGAAACAGTAAAAAAGAAAAATCGGAAAATTCAAAATCGTAAAACTGAAATTTCGTAATATGTATTATAAAATTGGAACTACAGAATAACTCAAACCTTATTTAACGATGTGAATAGGTTTATTATGGAAAAATTGAAAAAAAAGTATCCACAATATCTAAAAATTTAAACGTAGAAAACTTACAAAATTAAAATTTAGCAAAAAGAAAAATCTAAAAATTAAAAAATTTAAAGAGAAAACAAAATTGAGAAATTAAAAAATCAAAAAAGTGAAAAAACAAAAAATAAAAGCATCCAAAAATTGATAAATCGAGAAATCAAAAATTGAGAACCTGAAAACCAAAATTTGTAAGTCGAAAACTTGAAATTTGAAATATTCAAAAATTGAAAAAACGACAAACTAAAATATCTGAAAATTGAAGCGAAAAATAAAAAAAATCAATGGGTGAAAAATTGAAAAAGTTGAAAAATAAAAAACTTTAAAATCGAGAAGGAGAAATAAGAACCTGAAAAATCAAAGTATTATTAAAAATGAAAAACTTTGGTATCTAAAAATTGAAGCAGGGAAATATTAAAAATTGAAAAATTGGAAGTCGAAAATTAAAATATTTAAAGATTGAAAAATTGCAAAATCAAAAAAATTGATAAATTCTAAAATTGAAAAAAAATTATAAATTGAGAAATTGAAAAAGGGGGCAATTAAAAACGTAAAATTAAAATATATAAAAATTGAAGAAGCCAATACTTCAAATTCAAAATTTAAACAATCAAAAATTCAAAAATGGCAAATTGAAAAAATTGAAATTAAAAATTAAAATTTGTATTTAAACTTTGAAAAACAAAAAATTGTTAAACCAGAAGTTGAAATATCGTAAAAATGTAAACTCGAAACATAACAGTTCGAAAAATGGTAGAACCTAAAAATTACCAATCAAAAAATTCAATTAACGAAAAAAGGAAAAAATGAGAAGCTGAAAAATCGATAAAGGGAAAAAACGAAAAATAAAACTATCAAAAAATTAAGAAACCGAGAAAATTAAAAATAGAATTAACGAAAAAACAAAAAGTTGAAAAATCGAAAAATCAAAAGTTGAGAATCCGAAAACCAAAAAAAAATGAGAAAACAAAAATTCCACATATCTAAAAATTTAGAACTCGAGAAAATTAAAATCCGAAATGGGGAAATCGAAAAAATGAAAAATCAATAAACTGAAAAATCGAAATATTAATAAAAAAGACTCAGACATTAAAAATTGTAAGTCTATTATGCAAGTGTAAAATCGAAAAATTGAAGAAACGAAAAGTTTCGAAAGCTATCGAAATTTGTACTGAAAAAACGAAAAATTGAATTCAAAGTATGAAAAACGAAAAACTGATAAATGTAAAATTGAAAACTCGAAAAACTGAAGGATCTCAAAACTGTAAAACAAAAAGTTGAAGAAACAAAAAAACGAAAAATAAATTCAAAAAAAAAATCAAAATTTCTGAAAATCAAGAACCTACAAAATCTGAAAATTGTGAAACTAAGAACTGAAATTTGAAATATCCAATAATTGAAATAACGAAAAATTAAAATATCTAAAAATTGAAAAAAGGAAAAATCGAAAAATTAAAAAATTGAGAAATTAAAAATCGAAATATTGATAAAAACGAAAAGCTTAAATATCTAAAAATTGAAAGGTCGAAAACTCGAAAAATAAAAATTTTAAATTTGAAAAATTTAAAATCGAAAAATTGAATGAACGAAAAATGGAAAATTGACAAATCGGGAAACAACGCGATCGAAATATTGAGAAAAATTTCAATTCAAAATATGTATCTAAAAACTGAAAAATCCAAAAATTATAAAATGGAAAAGTTGAAAAGTCTAAATATCGTAACCCCGAAGAATTTAAGCTCGTAAACTAGAAAAAACAGTTCGGAAAATAATAATATCTAAAAAGTGTAAGAACTAAAAGTTGTAAATCAAAAAAATTAAAAAACGAAAAAATGATAAATCAAAAAATGGGAAACTGAAAAATCGAAAAATAAAAACTCGAGAACCTGAAAAATCCAAATGTAATTTGAAAAATTAATAGTTGAAAAATGGAAAAACTGAAAAATGGAAATATTAATAAAACCAAAAACTTAAATCTCTAAAAACTGAAAATTCGAAAAATTGAAAAATTCAAAATATGAAAAAGGAAAATCGAAAAATATGAAACTGAAAACTTGGAAAACTGTAAGATCTAAAAATTACAAAAAATTCAATTAACGAAAACAGGAAAAAATAACTGAGAAACTGAAAAATCGATAAAGTGAAAAAACAAAAAATAAAACTATCTAAAAATTAAAAAACCGAGAAACTTACAAATTGTAATAGGAAAAAAACAAAAAATTGAAAAATCGAAGTATCAAAACTTGAGAACCTAAAAACCAAAAGTTGTAATCGAAAACTTGGAAAGTTAAAATATTCAAAAATTGAAAAAACGACAAATCAAAATATCTGAAAACTGAAGCCAAAAATCAGAAAATTCAATAAATGAAAAATTGAGAGAAGTTGGAAAATAAAAAACTTAAAAATCGAGAAGCAGAAAAATCAAAATATTATTAAAAATGAAAAACTTTAGTATCTAAAAATTGGAGCAGGGATATATTAAAAGTTGAAAAATTGAAAGTCGAAAATTGAAATATGTACTTAAATATTGAAATATTGCAAAATAAAAATTTTGAGAAATTCGAAAGTTGAAAAAAAATTAAAATTGAGAAATTGAAAAGAGGGGAAAAATTAAAAACGAAAGATTAAAATATCTAAAAATTGAAGAAGCCAATACTTCAAAGTCAAAATTTACATAATACAATAAAAAATTCAAAAATGGCAAATTAAGATAAACCAAAATTGAAATATTGGAAAAATTTAAAATTAGAATTTGTATTTAAACTTTGAAAAACCAAAAAATTGTTAAACCAGAAGTTGAAATACCGTAAAAATGAAGAACTTAAAATTGTAAACTCGAAACATAACACATCGAAAACTGGTAGAACCTAGAAATTACCAATCAAAAAATTCAATTAACGAAAAAAGGAAAAAAAAAGAGAAACTGAAAAATCGATAAAGTGAAAAAACAAAAAATATAAATATCAAAAAATTGAGAAACCGAGAAATCAAAAATTGAGAACCTGAAAACCAAAAGTTGTAAACCGAAAACTTGAAAGTTGAAACGACGGCAAATTAAAATATCTGAAAATTGAAGCGAAAAATCAAAAAATTCAATAGATGAAACATTGGAAAACTGAAAAATAGAAAACTTAAAAATCCAGAAGCAGAAAGAAGAACCTGAAAAATCGAAATATGTAGTAGTAAAAATGAAAAACTTTAGCATCTAAAAATTGAAGCAGGGAAAAATTAAAAATTGACAAATTGAAAAACTGAAAGAAATAAAAACGAAAAATTAAAATATCTAAAAAATGAAATAACCAAATATTTCAAATTCAAAATTTAAATAATCAAAAATTCAAAAATGGCAAATTGAGAACCACCAAAATTGAAATGTCGTAAATGAAGAACTTAAAACTGTAAACTCGAAACATAGCAGATCGAAAAATGGTGAAATCGAAAAATTAAAATATCGAAAAATGAATAATTGAAAAACTGAGATTTGAATTGAAAAATTAATGTAAATATGTTAGACAACTTGCCTTACATTCGTCCTTGTGACTTGTTGTTGAAAACCTGCAGAAACCTATTCTGCAACCAACTCTTATATAGATGGCGACACTGTATTCTGGATTATTGGTTGCCTAAGCGTCCGGCTGACATATTTAGAGGAGAATTAGTTTAACACTGACACTTATGATTATTATCTATTTTATTAAATTCGACGCAACACCTTTAAAACAAAAAACTCTCTTTGTAAAAATATTTATTTCAGTTAATAATTAAAATAATCCATAGCCCTAAATATAAACTTTGGCAAAATCGCCGACAATACATTTCATTTAGTGTTTATGCGTTTTCTCGTGCTCGGCAATGCTGGCTTTAACCTGAGTCTGCAAGTTCTGGCTGACTTCGGTGATCTGGTTCAACAGAGTCTGGGCGGCGTTCTGGATATCAGTCTTAGCTTCTGCAACAAGAGTCAAACCTCACCACCCACCCCAAAATTTTCCAAAAACTACTTACTGGTCGCGTCGGGCTCGATCGCCTTCACCAGCTTATCGACCTGGGCGACGGCGTTCTTCAGCCCATCGTCCAAGTTCTTCTTCAACTCCTTGGCTTTGGCGGTGGCCTCGGGTCCGGCGGCTTGCTGCAAGTTGGCGGCGGTTTCGCTCAGCTTCTGTTCGACCTGGCGGATGACGTTGTCGATTTCGCCCTGGTGAGCCTTGACTTCGCCTTTGAGCTTGTCGACGATTTCCTGGACGTGGTTGGCCAAAGTCTGGGCGTTGGTGTTGAGGATTTCGACAACCTTCTTGGAATCTGGCAGCTCTTTGATGCCGAGGGTTTGCGTGACGTTGTTGACGAGGGTCTCGGTGTTACGGGCCAGCTCCTCCAGGGGCGACTTCTCGGCTTGCTTGGCCTTGGGTTTGGCCAAAGAGCCCTGGAAAAATTAGAGCGATATTTAAATCTAAAAATAAAAATTGCACAATCCGATCGGATGACCAATTCATCGAAACAATTACGCAAGGCGTCAGCCGAGCGGAACAACTAATCACCCATCACCGAACTACCGAAAAATTGTGTACGTACCTGGAGGGCGAAAAGGGCGATGAGAGCAACAACGAAGAGTTTGGCCATGTTCGTGCAGATGTGGAGGCTGTCGAAGTCCGTTTGACTAATTCGTCTCAATCAGCGAGCGCTTTTATAGAACGCCCTCGTACTACCCGGACCTTTACCACCTTGACCTCTGTTGGTTGGTTATCGCTTATTTGCACAGCACGAGGAAATTTCGAGTATGCACTTGGACAAACAGATAATAATTGAAATATGATTTGGGTCAGTGGTTCAGAGGAAAAAAAGTGCGTGTAAGGGAGCTGAGGTGACGATTTTTTGAGTTGTGGTTAGGCCTGAGTGGGTAAGGGGAATGGGTTAGTGAAACATGGTTAAGGAAGGAAATCGAGCTGAGTCAGCGAAGAAAATTTTGAAAAAAATGAATTTTGTCTTAATTTTAAGCGACGTATAATTAAAAAAAAAATCAAAAGAAGTCCAGCTGGAGTCTATATTTTTCATAATGTTTGGAAACTAATTCACAATTATTTTAGCTCCAACTCTAAGACTTAATCAACGAACAACGAACAACAAAACATGTAAAATCTAATAATTTATTGCAAATCAAAAAGTTTAAGAAACTAAACATTGAAAAACCAAAAGTTGAGAAAATGAAAAATTGAACAATTACAACAATGAAAAATTAATATATCTAAAAATTTAAACGATAAACTTAAAAATGGAAACAGTAAAAAAGAAAAATCCAAAAGTTATAAATCGAAAAATTAAAAGCTGGAATATCCAAAATTGAAAAAAGGAAAAATTAAAATATGAATCTTAAAAATTGAAGAAGCGAGAAATCGAAAAATTCAATCGATGAAAATCGAAAAATGAAAAAATTATTAAAAAATCAAACACAATAACAAAAAATTGAAATGTAGAAAAATTGTATAATTAAAGAATTAAAAATTAACAACTGCGAATCCAAAAATTACAAAATTAAAATTTAGAAAACAGAACAATCGAAACTTGAAAATTTTAAATTCGAAAACCCAAAAAGTTGAAGAAATGAAAAATTGCAAATCGAAAAATTGTAGCGGCGAAAAACTGAAAAATTAAGAATTGGGAAACAAAAAACGAGCAATCCAAATATCTAGAAATTAAAGAAAAAATTGAAGTGATGAAAAACTGAAAAATCGAGAGACTGAAAAATAGAAAACTAAGATTCATAAAATTCATCGAAAAGTTGCAAAGTTAAAATTTAGAAAACCATAAAAGTGAAAAATTTTAATTCAAAAACGCGAATAATTGCAAACTGGAAAATTGAGGAAACGCGAAGATGAAATATCTAAAAATTGAAAAACCGAAAAATTAAAATATTTAAAAAGTGTAAAACCGGGAAACTGAAAAAATAAATAATCGAAAAAAATTAAAAATCGAAATATGTATTGAAGAAACGAAAAAATTGAAAATTCGAAAAAGTAAAAATCGGGAAACTGAAAAATCGAATGTAGATTTATGCCTACATATAAAAATCCAAATGTAGAAAAATTGTAAAATTGAAGATAAAAAGTTAATAATTGCGAATCGAAAAATTGACAATTTTAAATTCAGAAACCCGAAAAGTTGAAGAAATGAAAAATTGTAGCAGCGAAAAACTGAAAAATTGAAGATTTGAAAAATTAAAAAATTAAAAATTGAGACTCAAAAATTGAAAAAAAAATTATAAACCAAAAATCAAATTCCCTAAAAATTGGGAAAGTGAAAGATTTATAAATTGAAAAAGTCAAAAAAATTTAAAATTATAAAATTGAAAACTCTAGAATTTGTAAAAAAAATTGCAGATCAAAAAGTAAAGAAACTCAAAAATGAAAAATAAAAAATTGGGGACATGAAAAATTGAAAAATTACAAAAACGAAAAATTAATATACCTAAAAATTTAAACGATGAATTTAAAAATGGAAACAGTAAAATAGAAAAATCGGAAAATTCAAAATGGAAAAACTGAGATTTCACAATATTCTAAAATTGGAACTACAGAATAACTCAGACCTTATTTAACAATGTCAATAGGTTTATTATTGAAAAATCGAAAAAAAAGTATACACAATATCTAAAAATTTAAACGTAGAAAACTTGTAAAATTAAGGAATTAAAAATTAAAAATTTTAAATTCGAAAACCCAAAAACTTGAAATGAAAAATCGAAAAATTGCAAATCGAAAAATTGTAGCGGCGAAAAACTGAAAAACTGAAATTTGGAAAACTGAAAAATTAAGAATTGGGAAACTCAAAAAACGAAAAATCAAAATATCTAGAAATTGAAAAAAAAAAATTGAAGTGATGAACAACTGAAAAATCGAAAAATCGCAAAAATCGAGAGACTGAAAAATCGAAGTAGGGGAAGAGGGCCCAAAGCGGGCACCATAAGGAAAAATATTAAAAAAAGTAGTTTATGGATAATCTAGATCCTTTAAATTTTTATATTATGATGCTTGATTTAATCCTTTTCAATGATGCATAACTAAAATTGAAGAAAGTTTATTAAAAAAAAAGTTATAAGCAGATAACTAAATCTTTACAACTGCCCGCTTTGCCCTACGGGGAGGCCTAAAGCGGGCATTCAGCTAGGGCAAACCAGGCAATGGTTAAGGTTGGCGTCTGGTTCGGTTTCGCACTATACTAAATACATTGAAAACATTGTCGGGGTTTCCGGAATTGCATTTTAGAAGTACTGAAGTCTGCAACCAAACCAGAAGTTAAGTAAGCTCATTTTAATAGATTTTGACTTTTCGAGAGTTATTTACCTCAGTCATGGATTTTTTTAGGATTATAAATGGTATCAAAAGAAAGCTGACACTTTTCCCCAGAGGACCTTCTATCTCAAAATGCAAACCTCTTCAGCACTTCGTCAAAAAATGCATCAATGTGCCGATTAAAGTGTGATGTAAAAGTTGCTCAACTTTATATATTTTTTTTTGTAAAAACTGTAGACTAGATATGAATATAAATATGAAGGTCCCCTGGACTGAAGTTTGGTAATTCGAAATGTTATTTTTTTAAAGCGATATATCTCGTATTTTTCCTTTGTGGTTTTTTCACTTCTTAGACTTCGTTTTATCTTCAACAAGTTCTTCTTTTATAATTTGTTTCACAGACTCCACATTGCCTTTGTTCTTCTTTTCGAAACAACTATAGATATTTAGTAAATACACTAGAAGGACAAACCGGACAAGTGCCCGCTTTGCCCTGCCCGCTTTGCCCATTTCGACAATTAAAATTGCAAACAACATCTAAACTCAAAATGATGCGACAAGTGGCAGTTAACTGCTACCTTATGGTAGCCGAATAAACACAAATTGATTAACGAATTTCATTTTTAGCTTAAAAATCACAAACATAGAAAAAACAGATGTGACACACTTTGCAATATTTTTCAAAATCATGTGAAAATTATTTATTTATTATAGCACATAATTGGGTACTCGCAGGAGACCTGGGCGACTGATGTGAAGTATGCGGGGGGGGATGCACTATGTCCGCGCGGTTAGGGCGCACCATCTTTTGAAACGCCAAAACTAAAGAGAGTGCCCGCTTTAGGCTCTATGCCCGCTTTAGGCCCCCTTCCCCTATAGAAAAAACGAAAAATTATACATAATATCTGATAACTGAAAAATAGAAAATTAAGATTCATAAAATTCATCGAAAAGTTGCAAAGTTAAAATTTAGAAAACCATAAAAGTGAAAAATTTTAATTCAAAAACGCGAATAATTGCAAACTGGAAAATTGAGGAAACGCGAAGATGAAATATCTAAAAATTGAAAAACCGAAAAATTAAAATATTTAAAAAGTGTAAAACCGGGAAACTGAAAAAATAAATAATCGAAAAAAATTAAAAATCGAAATATGTATTGAAGAAACGAAAAAATTGAAAATTCGAAAAAGTAAAAATATAGGAAAATTGTAAAATTAAAGATAAAAAATTAATAATTGTGAATCGAAAAATTGACAATTTTAAATTGGGAAACCCGAAAAGTTGAAAAAATGAAAATTTGAAAAATTGTAGCAGCGAAAAACTGAAAAACTGAAGATTTGAAAAATTAAAAAATTAAAAATTGAAACTCAAAAATTAAAAAAAATGAAAAACCAAAAATCAAATTCACTAAAAATTGGGAAAGCGAAAGATTTATAAATTGAAAAAGTCAAAAAAATTTAAAATTATAAAATTGAAAACTCTAGAATTTGTAAAAAAAATTGCAGATCAAAAAGTAAAGAAACTCAAAAATGAAAAATAAAAAATTGGGAACATGAAAAATTGAAAAATTACAAAAACGAAAAATTAATATACCTAAAAATTTAAACGATGAATTTAAAAATGGAAACAGTAAAATAGAAAAATCGGAAAATGCAAAATGGAAAAACTGAAATTTCATAATATCTAAAAATTTAAACGATAAACTTAAAAATGGAAACAGGAAAAAGAAAAATCGAAAAATTCAAAATTGAGAACTTGAAAAATCCACACTGTTTGGATTGTAAACTTTGAAGTTGACATATCCAAAAATTGAAAAAACGAAAAATTAAAATATGTAACTTAAAAGTTGAAGAAGCGGAAAATCGAAAAATTCAGTCCATTGAAATCGAAAAATGGAAAAATAGAAAAATTATAAATCGAGAAACAGAAGAATCGAAAAATTTTAAAATCGGGAAACTGAAAAATTGATAAAACGAAAAATTAAAATTCCCAAAAATTGAAAATTTTAGAGTGAGAAGTTTGCAAACTCTAAAATCAAAAAACTAAAGAAACAAATGCTTAATTGAAAAAGATTAAAAATCAAAATATGCATTGAAGAAAAGAAAAAATTGAAAATTCGAAAAATTAAAAATCGAGAAACTGAAAAATCGAAGTATGTACTAGCAAAAATGAAAAATTACACATAACATCTAAACATCGAAATATAGAAAAATTGTAAGATTAAATAATTAAAAATTAATAATTGCGAACTAAAATCTAATCTTTTTTAATTTCAAACCTTAATTATTTTTGAATTTTGTAAAATAAGTCTCTAAAAATTTATTATTGTATAGAACAGATATCAAAAATGTGAAAATGACGTCGTTCTAATTTTTATTTTATTAAAGCTTTTTCGCA